ATAATTAAATTGGACCAAAACGTATTCCAATTCCTCCAAAGTAAGCCTTTAACGGACAATGTTAATGGATCATTTGTGGTCGTTCTGACCAATTTTCTCATGCTTCTCTGGCGGCTTCAACCACCGAAAATATTGATGAAAAAAATCATTTATTAGCGAAAAATAATAGTCATGAAACAAAAGTGGTTAAAGTTAAAGACAAAGGTCAATTGCAGAACTGATGTGATACTCATGGAGTCATGGGATCAAAAGTGAAATGTATTCTTTGAGTTAAACGCCAATCTTGAAATTCAAAATTTATAGGTGTAAGTTTTATTTGCCTTTCATTTTCAATAATAAATATAACATAGAATAAATCTACTTAGAAATATAATTGTATGCGTACACACACCTATTAGCTTAGGCTATTACATTAAACTTGTTAAGTAAATAATAAGAATGTACATAATAAATCATGTACGCAGTAAATATTCCCTTAGATTTACTACGTACTAGCGGATCACTGATAACGTCTTTAATTATATAAAATAAAATTTTAACCATTCAATTTTTAACAAGGTGTGTCTTAATTGAAGAATATTATTATGTATGTGTAGATGTATGCATATGTGACACACATATTTTTTACGAATATTTAATTTTGAGTATTATCTAATTAGAATATAATATTATTTTTGTTAATATTACAAAAATTCAAACAAGGAAAAAATATATATTTGAATTAATATCCGACTTATTAGAGATTGAGTCATTAAGTTACAAATCGAAGTAAAAAATTAAGTAATTTAATTAAAACACACATTTTGATGTTAAGAAAAAAAATTCATTAGTTTTTTTACGTTTTTAGTTAACAAATGAGTTCATGCAATATTTGGTTATTTTCAGAGGCTTCATAGATTTAAAATTTGTGTTTTGGGTTTTTTGGGCCCAAGAAAACTAACAACAGTCAAAACTTCAGAAAAAAATGATTTTTATATGTAAAATTGGTGTCATAAAAACTTATAAATTTTGATATATTTTTTGAAAAAATTGGAGAACAAATAAAAAAATTATATAAGAATAAAGATAATAAGTTTTCCCAGTTTTTCTAAATACAGTTTGTTCTTTGATTACATTTAGACTTTTATTCAATCTAATTAAAGAATAAGAATCAGAATAAAAACATTTATGGGATTTGTTAATGGAGTCTTTGCCACTATTTACATTCTTCATCAAAAAACTATGTACTCTATCTTTAGCATCATATTAATACATATAGGGAAAATAAATTTAAATAATATCAACTATCGCTCAACAATCAATAATAATACATACTTTGAAAATGATTTTTAATAATACCAACTATTTAAATAAAAAAAACAAAAGTAATATGGAATCAGTTTTCAACAAGAAATCCAGTCATTTAAGACATGAAAAACTAATAGCAAGTCATTAATATTTGATATTTTAATATTAATTTTTGGTGAATTAAATGATTGAATTTTTAGTGAAAAAATGCTCTATATCACTTTTTATCTATATTTAGATAGTTGATATTATTAAAAGTTATTTCTAAACTACGTATTATTCGTAATTCATGAAAGATAATTTGTATTATTTAAAGTAATTTTTCCTGCTCTATAATATCTAAAAGAATTCAGTAAACATCAACTTTGTCCGATATGCAAAATTTCTAAATTAGGCTATTAAGAATGTTTTCTTTTGGACTGTTTTCAGTCTCAGACCAGACCAAACCAAACTTAAACTAACCAGATTAGACCAGAGTAAATCAGATCAACTTTGATTTTGTTTTCTATTGCAAAGTGACTTCTTCCCGTAATAGAAGAACTTGATGGTCTAAAAGAGAGTTTTGTTTTCCTTTCATGATACTCAATCATTAATAGGATTTGTGGCCGATATGATGGCCAATATTTGGGAAGGAGGGGGTGTTTCTTAGAACATTTCCAATTAAAAATAACTAAATATAGTATATCTATCCTTATTTCAACGGTCTTATTGTTGAGAAAAACTTACCAAAAACATATGAGACGTGGAAAAAATGAGAAAAAAATGTCACAACTTTATTCTTTTATGTCTATTTCTCTCATGTCCCATGTGCACCGTGCACATTATAATATTCCATTTTTACGGATGTTGCCATCTCAAAAACAATGAATGTGTTTGGGTTGGACTTTTCATACGTGTCTATAGATGAAAAACAACATTTCATAAATTTTCTCCCTACTTATATTAGGATCTATTTATTTGGATATTTCAATCCTAGACCGTACCAAATAAGAGTACACCAATTTAAATGGATTATATTGAATATGACTAGACTCAAAACATTTTGATCATACCACTTACTCTGTAGTCAAACAACAGCAACAACAGTAATATACCAGGTATATAGACATATAGTAATATACTACACTCACGGTGCCAAAACGGGAATATGTAGGGTTGGGGGAATACCGAAACATCGATATACCTCATTTATGATATTCAAAATACGAATTTACCGAATATTTAGGATTATAATGTTTAGGCTAAAGGGTCAAATAGGCCCCTGAACTGACTTAAAATGTTCAATTAGCCCCTTATATAGGACTATAGGAGGTTCTGCTCGGTCGTCGCCAATTGGGAGGTTCCCGGTGGAATTTTTTGATAAAATTTTTTGAACATCTTCTTCATTAAGTCTAGTTTACTCATACCAAATTTCAGATAAAAATTCAACCGGGAAGGTAGTCAAATGATTTTTCGAAGATAACTGCGAAGTTAAACAGCACAGTACATTTCGGAAAATCATTTGACTGCCTTCCCGATTGAATTTTTGGCTGAAATTTGGTATGGATAAACTAGACTTAATGAAGAAGATGCTCAAAAAATTTCATCAAAATATTCCACTGGGAACCGCCCCAATTAGCGACGGCCGGGCAAAATCTCTTATATAAGGGGCTAATTGAACACTTTAAGTCAGTTCAATGGCTTATTTGACCCTTTAGCCTAATGTTTATTTTTCCTAAATAGGAGTAAAATATACTCTATCTTCCTATTCTACCCTTACCATAACTTAATGAGAAATATATTTTATATTTGTAATAAAAACATTAAAAATTATAACAAAATCATAAAAAAGAAGTTTCATCATTTCTAATGTAATCAAAGTATTCTATTTTTTGGTTTGGGAGTATGATGGAATAAAGCAAAATGAACTTATAGGAGGTCTCTAACATTTCAAGCACCTAAGAGCTCTTAGGAAAACTTGAGCATAAGGGCAACCACATGTGTGAACATTCTAGCCAGTAATTGAAACTAGCTCAATATGGGTGTTTTATTATGTTTGAAGCATAACTTTGGAGAAGTCATGGTTGATGGGAAAGAAGTTGACATAGTTGCTGATTTTTTTGAGAACTTTTATGAAGAAGGGACGTTTTCGGTAAGCACACAAGAGAATGACTGACTTAACTAATCCTAAAGCCAATTCATAATTAAATAGCATGCAGGCCAATTTTGTAAGCAGAGTAAAAACTGCATTTTTTTTATCATTCTTCATTATTTTACCTCATTTGATCACATCTGAGTGTTGTATGCCTACATACATGGAGATTATAGGTTGCTACAAATACAACTGCATGCCCTTTAATTAATTTTTCCCATCCTTTTTTATTCATTCTTATGTTTTTTGCAGCAAACATGGCACCGCTGAAGACAAAACATGAGATGTCGACCTCTACCGCTCCAAAACGTGCAGTTCCCAATATGTTGAGCTAAAAAATATTGTGATGTCTCTCCGGGTTAGATGTAAGGGGATAGAAGACTATGAAGTTTCTTTTTTATGTATACAAATTGTGATTAAATATTTGCAATCTTGTTGATGTAATATAATATTTTGGTTTCATCTCATTCAGTATAATTTGTGAACTCGAACATTGTTATTTATGTGTGTGTATGATCTTTTTTTTTGGATGAAATGTAAATATATATTAACACCCAAAGAAAGTATACATCACATATCCTAGATCTCCTAAAACCCCTCCTCCACCTCCACATAATGTGAGGTTGAAAGGAGGTTTTTACTCGATCTATTCTATGCCAAATGACCAAGTATACAAACTTGGCCCATCAAAAAAACCAAAATATACATCAGTGCCGCACAAGCACGCACACAGATCATAGGTTCAATTCTAAACAAAATACGAAGGTGTTGTTATATGCACACACCCAAAAATCCAAAAGTCTGCTTCATGTTGTGGCATCCAATATGTCCATGCCGCAGTGTCCAAACCGCGGCATCCAAAATGGAATGTGTGTGTATGATCTTTAGTGATATGGTATGAGGGTTGGCTTCATTATTTCGTAAAATACGAAGTACTAGACAATGTTTGGTCATTATTTTAATGGTATTGACTAATGACTATTACGAACTTCTAGGGAGTGAATCTCTTCAAGGAGTGCACTGTTTGTTTCAGAGAAATATGTTGAATCCAAGCTTAAGTATGTCTTTAACTCACCTCGAGTCACTCCCAACATGTAATCGTTTACATGTCCCCATATGGATTGAAATTTATTACTCCCTCCGTCCCATTTTACATGTCTTACTTTCCTTTTTTGGTTGTCCCAAAATAAGTGTCACCTTTCCGTTTTTGGAAAGAAATATATGGTTCACAACATTTCACTTTACTATACTTAAATCTCAACCACAACTTTTACCCTTTTAACCACTCTATTAAAAATTATGTCAAAACCAAAGGAGACACATAAAGTGATACGAAGGTAGTATATTTGATGATGACAGTAAATAGACCAAGAAGACCTTAAATGTTGTTTGTAGAGAAGTATACAATAATTCATACGGAGTAACTTTTTTTTATCTTCATTTACTTTTGTTAAACATGATATATTCGTTGTGCTGTCTTTATCACAATATTTTTGTAAATTCTCATTTTTTTTCTTATTAGCTGCATCCCGTGCGAAGCACAGGTGAAAAATCTAATTGAAATAAAAGAAATTACTCATGAGCTTAACTAACTAAATTGAAGGAATTGAAAGAGGTGGAACAATGGGAATATACCGTACTCCAACAACATTATGGAGTATATTAATTTATTAACACTCAACAATTATGTTTTGATCCGAGTAAGAATCACCGTCGTCCAAGGCGTCGCAACCACTATCACCACCGGACTGGGATTTCTTTTTGGGAGTAATCTCGTTCAACATTGAAACCACGTCCCTCATGGATGGCCGGTCAGCCGGATTCCGGCAAGTGCACACCAATGCAATCTTAAACAATAACATCATCTCCTCCCATACTAATGGCGAAGAGGTAGAAATATTGTTGTCTTTATCTAAGAAGTCTTTTATGTCCTCTTTTGCCTTTAACTTATTTCTCACCCAATCCACAATGCTATTGCCTTCACCAAATTCAGCTTCCATTGATCTTCTACCCGTTAGTATTTCCAATAACATAACTCCGTAACTATAGATGTCACTTTTCACGTCAACTTGTAACGAATATGCGTACTCTGTGAGGAAAATGTATACATTTTTTGTCAATATATGATAGATGAACCAAACAAATCCATCCAACTCGCATTCCAAATAATCAATGGTTATGTTATTTGGAAATAAGGTGGAAAGAGTTCAACCAATAAGATGAAAGAGGAGCAAACTTTCAATTCATGTAACATTACTTCATTTCACTTCACGTTTGTCCTAGCTCATCATAAAATAACTAAATCAATTAAGATAATTAGAGAAGATTGTAATTACACAGGAAGACAAAATTAAACCCTCTCTCCAGTGTGTGTGTGTGAGAGTGTGTGCCATATGGGAGTATCAATAAAGAAATATTAGGTGTTGATTCACATTCAAATTAATCTCAAAACTTTGATGTTGTTAATTAGATTACAATTTTCTCACATCTTATGTATTTTTGGTAAGCTTTTATCAACAATATCAATCATAATGTCCACAATCTAAATATTGTATTTATCATTGTCAAGAAAAGTATACTAAAATCATACTCCCTCCATCTTGCTAAGATTGTCCTATTTTTCTTTTTGGTCTGTCTCTCTAAAATCATTCCTACTTTATTCTTATTTTATCAATTAAATATCAAACAATAAATTTACTTTTCTTGATAATCACACCTCATTCTCATGTCTCAATGTTAGTAGGACAAATGTAGTATAAGATTGTTCAAATAATGAGATAAATATTCTACTTATTTATATTTATGTTTCTATCTCTCTCATGTGATAGTTCTGATGTATCGTTCATGTTATTTGTTATTGTATTGGAGATGTTTTAAATCTTTGCTTCAAACTAGGGCTGGGTCCGAAAAACTGAAAACCGAAAACCGAATCAAATTAAACCGAATCGCGACCAAATAAAACCGAACCGCTAAAAAACCGAAACCGAATATAAAAACCGAACCGTAGTAGTTTGGTTCGGTTTTGGTTTTTACCCTTCAAAACCGAACCGAACCGAACAAACCGAACTAAAATAAAATATGAAATTTTATTTGTTAAATGTAAGCATTAATCTTGATATCGTCAATAATCTTTGAATTTCTTGTGCTACAGAAATAATTCTTGTGCTATGTTTGGTTTAGTTTAGTTTATAAATGCATTTACACATTCATTGCCCATAATAATGTAGTTATATTGATCTATTATGTCTTCTATGTATGTATGTTGCAATTTATTGCATGATTATATGTTTTTACTAATTATTAGTAGTAATTAACTTTTATTTTTATGTAATCTAATTTTTTTTGTAACTTACATTTTTTATATTGATCAAACAAATAAATCTTCTTCTCAGCTATATCACACAGGATGTATGTATTCATAAACTTTTTTGCAAACTAGTCACAAATAATGTAAATGAAGATATATATACACTTTTATCTCCCCCGCATACTCATATAATTCAAGACATATTTGTTTATTATTATTTTCTTTATTTATTCAAGTATGCTTGCATTTTTATGCAATATGTTTGATCCGAAAATCATATGACAAATTTTTAGTAGAAAACCGAAAAAACCGAAACCGAACCGAAATAAACCGAACCGAACAAACCGTGGTTCCAAGTTTTGGAGTCAAAAACCGAACCGAAACCGAACCGAACTTTTACTTTGATTCTGTATTTGGTTTTAGGTCAAAACCGAACCGAAAGAACCGAACTCACCCCTACTTCAAACACATTTGGCCATTTGGGTATCATTCTTTTCTTAATCCAGGTGAAAAGCTGAATTATAAATTAAGGGAAGTTTATTTATTACCGAGAATCAATCCGCCCTCCCATCCTTTCATTTCTAGCTACCTATAAAGCTATTATTAGTTGTCTTTTAGTAAAGGATTAAAGGGCGTTTTGGTAAGATAGCCTATAAATATTTCCTTGCTAAATGTAGCGAAGCATATATAAGACATGTATAAGGCATCTATCATTTTGATTATTTACTATAAATTCTAAACACTTTTTTAAACACCCCGTTTTACAATGTAAAACATTTTATTTATAGAGAGTGATAAATAAGTGCAACTAATTTAATTAAGAGTAATTTAAAAATAAATTACACATTTAAACACCTAACCAATTATTGTCTTTGTATTTACATATAAAGTGATTTACTCCCTAAATTTTAATGTAATTATTTTAACGGTAAAGCTACCCCATATTCAAATCACCAGACGATCCATAACAACCGGGTTGTCTATAAGTTATCAATTATTGTACGTTTTTCTTTCAACACAAGACTTAATAATTACAAATCCTACAAAGTCAACCAAAAAGAGAAGTTAGGTGCTACTACAAGAGACACTTTAAATTTAGAGTGCCTTTAAATTCAGTAATATTATGTTACTTTCTTTCAACGTTCTTTATTTTTTTTTACATTTCGAAAAAGAGCAGCAATGATTCACTGGCCGGACTCTCGTAAAAATACATTTGTTTGAATCTACACGCCACAGTTGACTTTGTTGTATTGACTTTATTCTATCTTCGAGAGTTCAACCAAAAGGATAGAAAGTGTCAAAATGGCAAATTTGATGAAATTAAACCATGACAATTTCGATAGACAACAATAATGTGCAAACAATCAACCTTTTATCAGCTATATTATTCTTATTGGATGTCTGGATCTCTTGTTAAAACTGATTCTTCTCTTCCAAAGCAGATTGGAATGTGGATGAAAATATGTTTCAAATTGCTCCCGAAAGCAATTTTTTAGAAAATGCGGTAGACCATCTTCGGAATAAACTAATTTTATATCTATTTATGCTACGAAAGGCAATTGTGACCGATCTGATGGATACCCGCTTTGTTACCCGCTTTGAGTAATGGGTATGGACGGAGAATACCCGTTTTGTTTTTACGGGTAAGGGGCAGTTACGGTTTTATACATGTCTGCGCAGCCCCATTACCCGTCCCATACTCGCCCCATTTATTTTTAGTTATATTTTTATCTCATTTTTATCTATTATTTGTCCCACAACTACTAAAAGATGATATTTTTCTATTTTCATTGTGTATATATATGGATAATAGATGTATTAGCTATATGTATGAATGAAAAATCATAATAGATTTTTATAATCTTGTTTGGTTATTATTATTATTCATGATAATTATATCTAAGATTAAATATTTTTAGATTCAAATGAATTTAGGTTGCTTCCTTTCTCATCTTGTAGATATAACTAAATTTCAAAGTGGCGTATGAGTTTAGAGTCGTCTAAGCGATGTCATTTTTCGCAATTTAAAATACTATTTTTATATTAAAATATCAATGACTCATTTAATAAAATGGTTACCCGCGGGCCGCGGTTACCCACGGTTATACCCGTTACCCGTTGGTGCAATTATGGTTTGAGAAAAAAAATTACCCGTTGGATAATGGGGCGGTTATGGGGCGGGGGAATTACCCAACGGGGCGGAACGGTTATATGTAAAACCGTCCCCGGTCTGCCCCGTTGTCATCCCTAGTTTTCTCCTTTTAAAAAATATAAGCAAAAACAAATCAATTTCAAACACCGTATTGTTTGGATTAATCTCTACACGTACAACTTTTGTTAAACACTCTTGTATGTTTTAATTGAATTTATTTCAGTCTTAGACTAGACCAAACTAGACTTCTGCATCTTAAAGTACATAAATATCAGACATCTACCAGACCAAAGTAGACTTAAACATATCAGATCAAATTAAACTAGAAAATTTTAATCTAAGTAAAAACATTCTAAAAATATGGTGCATCAATTGTTATTATTATTGTTTTAGAAGTGTTCTCACTTCGAATGTAATAATATTTTTTAGATGCTCCAATAAGAACAGCGAATGCGCAATTTGTAAATGTATTAAAATGTCGTATTATAATTTTAAGATGTCTTATTTAAGATTAGTGTTGATTGTCATAATAAACTAATATTAATATTTTTGTATCTTATTTATTTCTATTATTAATTTGAAACCATAGAAATTAAAGATTGAGAAAAGAGTGACCACAGTTAGAGAATAAAATGCTTGAAAATGAAAAGTTGAAAAATGTTTAATGATTGTTTGATACGAAAGTAACTAAAGTACGAAATTAAGAGCCCGTTTGTTAACACCAAAATCAGCTGTTTTGGTTTATTCTGCTGAAATTTATGAAGTTCAGGCTGAAGTGGCTGTATTGGCTGATTCTGCTGATTTAAGAAAAAATTATTTTTAAAATATATTTTAGTAATAAAATAAAGAAAAAATTATATGTAAAATAGCTAAAATGACCATCTACAGTAACTTCAGCCAATACAGTCAGAAAAGTAACTTCAACCTTACTTTTTCTGCTTATTACACAATTTTGCGCGCGTAAACAAAAATTACGTATTTGATAAAAAATGTTTGCTGATAAGCCGAAAACAGAAAATAGATAAACCTTATTTTTTTAGAAAATAGATAAACCGAAATGGTAATCATAGCTAATGAATAAAATGCTTGAAAATGTTGATGGGGGCCATAAAAAAGTAAAAGGTAAAAGGTGAAAGCCAAAAATAGGGGTTTTGCCATGCGCAATAGTAGGAGACACCATGAAGCGCAAATAATCACGGTGACAAGGAGAAAAAGGTATCATTTGGCCATTTGGGACAGTGCCATAAAATGTGAATCTAAACTAAGTATTTTGTTCTCAAAATTCAAAAGAAGAAAAAGAAAATGGGACAAAGACATCGCATTACTGACGCTTGTGATGAAAGTGAAAATGGACATTTGTCTAATTGTTTTATACTAATGTTATATAGTTTCTTTTCAATATTGCATTTCACTATTATATACTCTGTACTCCATAAAAATTAGAGTATTCTATTTACTTTCGCAAAGGGACTTGTTCAAGTACGTTTTTATAAATTAATAATTAATATTATCTTAAAATAAAATTTATGAACAAATTAAAAGTGACACTAAAGCTAGTATGTGTATACATTCATAGCCATTGTATAAAATTTACACAATAATAGTCGCTAAAAATTATTATTATATTATAATTGTTGTATATAAGAAGGTTACATTTGATCCAATCTATTTATTAATCATATACAAGTGATTATATTCTAAGATGCAAACCAACATAATATTTTGACTACATTTATAGGGCCGATTATGTTTGATATGGTATTCCAATTAAGCTAATCCATACGACTATGACTCCAATACAAGTACAAACCATCATACGAGACCATGGGTTACTCTTTTTATACATGAAGTTAGCTTTAAAGTCTTAATAGTCACGACACCTCATCTATACCAACTACAAAAATAAAATAACATTGTTTTAATAATTAATAATAGGAAGTGAAAAAGTAGAAGAATTGTCATACCTGGTGCAATGTAACCATAAGATCCTGCGATGATCGACATGGATTCATTATCTTGATACAGTTTTGCAACTCCAAAATCAGCTACCTTAGCTTCATAGTCAGAATCCAGAAGAATGTTATTAGGTTTTAAATCTCTATGAATTATAACAGGATCACAATCATGATGAAGATAAGAGATTCCTTGAGCAATCCCTAATGCAATCTTGTATATAGTCCTCCAATTTCCAGCCATATCAGTCACGTTTTTGCTTTTGCAATGCAAAAAATCTTCAAGGTTCCCATTTGGCATGTACTCGTAGAGCAACATTGCACTCTCTTTGTTACTACAACATCCTAATAATCTCACAATGTTTTTGTGCCTTATTTGGCCCAAAACCTCGACTTCTGAAAGCACTCCTCGTATTCTACGAGTGGTGTCCTTTCGGAGATCATGTAACTTTTTAACGGCTATGGTCTCGTCACCTGGCATTTCGACCTTGTATACAATTCCGCTAGACCCTGCCCCGAGGACCTTATTGCTCATTCCCACACACTCTAACACGTCTTCTGCTGTGAAATTCAGCCGTCGGTAAGCTACTAGCTCCCACGTCTCGGGTTTTCGGTCACCTGGGAATCTAAACCTATAGTTCACTTGCAAACACCGGCAAACAGCTATGAGTACTAGCATCAAAACCCCAATTGCTGCCGTGAGGATCCAAAATGTCATGCGTACAGATTTTTTCGGGGATTGTTTAATCTCCACGCTGGTGGCGGGCTCTTCCTGGCATGCCTTGTGGATTCCGGTGCCGCAAAGACCATCATTTCCGGCAAAGGACGAGGAGTGAAGACTCGAGAATACTTGACCCGACGGTAACGGGCCGGTGAGGTTATTGTATGATACATTGAAGCTCTCAAGGGTACGAATATTGCCGAAATTCGAGGGAATGTTCCCGGTGAGATGATTGTGAGAGAGGTCGACGACGGTGATCGCCGGAAGAGATGAGATCTCCCACGGTATGGCCCCGGTGAGTGAATTCCGGCGAACGTTCAAAGATATGAGCTTTTCGCAAAGCTGAACATCCGACGGGATATCTCCCGTCAGATTGTTCCCTTCGAGCTCAATCTTGTACACGCTCCCGCATCCATTGAAATCCGGGATTTTCCCGCCAATAGAGCTATAACTGGCGGAAAATATCTTTAAATTATGGGCTCTCCAAATGTTTTCCGGCAACCTGACATTGAACTGGTTTTCCGATATGTTTAGGAATCCTAAGCTCACCGCATTGCCAAAATCTTCCGGGAGTGCCCCGGAGAAGTTGTTGCCGCTCACATCCATGAAGGTCAAGTTTGGCAAGAGCCCAAATCCGCTCGGAATCGATCCATTCAGTTTGTTCCCCTGAACTCTCAGTCTGGTTAAGGAGCTGCAATTCGCCAGAGACGGCGGAAGCTCGCCGGAGAACAGATTAGAGAACATGATTAGCTTCTCCAACTTCCCTCCAGCGCAGAGGTTCGGGGGGATCGGGCCGGAAAGGGAATTGGAAGAGACATCCACCTTCACTAACCCGGAATTTGATCCCAACTCCTGTGGCAAAATCCCTGCCAGTGAGTTATTCCACAAAGATAGCCTTTCAAGATTGGGAATCCGGCCAATCCCTTCCGGGATCTCGCCGGTCAAGTTGTTTCCCATCAGGGATAGTATTGAAAGCTTGTTTAGTGATGATAGTGTCGTCGGAATATTCCCTGAGAAATGGTTGTCGGAAAGGTCCAGCTCTTCTAGCAAGGCTAATCGGGAAAGCTCCTCTGGAATTTCCCCTGCTAAACGGTTCTTAAAAACATATAAAGTTTGTAGCTTTGTTAAGTTTGAAATTCCGGGCGAAAGGTGGCCAGAGAAATTACCTTGCGAGAGATCAAGAAATGTTAAATTCGATAAAGAGAAAAGCTCTGCCGGAATTTCTCCAACGTACTCATTGTACCCAAGTTGAAGATTCTCTAAATTTTTCAACAAACCCAATTCCGGCGGGATTGGACCTGTGAGTAAATTCCCGGCCAAGTACAGAAACTTGAGGTTGGGGAAACTTCCATAGTTGGCCGGAATTTTGCCGGAGAAGTAACTCCCGCCAAGGTTGAGATACTCGAGATTACGGAGCTGCGCGATTTCTCCCGGCAAAGGGCCGGAAAAGTTGTTGCTGAATGCGTTGAGGACGGTGAGGGTTTTCAGGCGAGAAATGCCCGGCGGTATCGCCGGACCGAAAGAATTGTTACTAATGTCCAAAGTCTTCAGAAACGGAAATTCAAGAATCGCCGGAGGCAAGGGGCAATCAAAAAGATTCCCGCTCAGGTTGAGGTGCCGGAGCTGGAGGAGGAACCGGATATCGGCCGGAATGGTGCCGGAGAGATTTTTCCGGGAGAGATTAAGAGTTGTGACGTCGCCGGAGCTGTGGTTGCACTTCACACCAGACCAGGAGCAGTAAACATGTTTGGAGTTGTTGTTAGTTGTGACATTCCAATCTTGGAAGGTGTTGAGAGGGTCTTTGAGAGAGGTTTTCAATGAGAGAAGTGATTTGAGTTGAAGAGAAAGGCTTGAATTTGAGGTAGGAGCAATGGAGAGCACTGATGAAATTCTTGTGAGAAAGATGAATGCAACAAAAAAAATTGAGAAGAGAAAGATGAAAGGAGAGGAAGGAAGTCTTTTCATTGTATGGGTATGGAGGTGAAGAACGTGAAAGATTGCCAAAGGGAAAGTGAGAAGAGGGTGACATTTAAAGGATTAAAATTTGGAATTGGTAGGGATAACTTTTTTGGAGTGATTTAAGGATGATGATTACTATGTTTGAGTGGAGAAAATAAATGTTCCACACCAAGGATGACTTGGTAAAATGATTTACGGAGTATAACTTATATACTCATAATACATAGTAAAATTTTGAAAATAAGTATTACATACTACATAGTATAACTTGATTCACGTTGGTTTAATACGATTATCAATAAAGTATGTGAAAAAAGTAAAATTATGGTTGAGATTGAAGTATAATAAAATAAATGTTGTAGACCACATATTTTCTTCCAAAAACAAAAATATAACACTTATTTTAAGAAAACACAAATAAGTAACACAAATAAAATGGTACATATAAAATAGGGAAAGTTCCCGAAATAGGACTAAAACAGTTTGAAAATTCCAAAATAGGACTGTCATGATTTTTATTCCCAAAATAGGAGTAATTACTGTCAAGTTTGGAAAATACTGTCGTCTTTGAAGTTTGGTACTGCCAAAACATGGCAGTAATTAGTCATATTTTGGGAATAAAAACATGGTAGTCCTATTTTGGAATTTTCAAACCTTTTTAGTCCTATTTTGGGTAAATTCTCTATAAAATATTACCTTCAAATATCGATACGAATTAGACATCAAGACGGATAAGAGGTATGTATTAATAAGTAAAAATTGTGGTTTTGGTTTACTAATGCATATATTGAACCAGAAAGGGAAAACTGTCAAATAGGTCCTCGAACTTTCATAAAAAAGTCAATTAAGTCCTTCTATAGGAGACTCTGTCCGGTCGTCGCGATTTGGGGCGGTTCTCGGTGGAATTTATTGATAAATTTTTTTGAGCATCTTATTCCTCAAGTCTAGTTTACTCATACCAAATTTCAGCTAAAAATTTAATCGGGAGCGCATTCAAATTAATTCGAGAACGCAGAAATGCGCAGTTATCTTCAAGAATTAATTTGAATGTGTTCTCGATTGAATTTTTAGCTGAAATTTGGTATGAGTAAACTAGACTTGGTGAATAAGATTCTCAAAAAATTTCATCAAAAAATTCCACCGGGAACTACCCCAAATCGCGACGGCCGGACAGAACCTCCTATAGAAGGACTTAATTGACCTTTTTGTGAAAGTTCGAGGACCTATTTGACAATTTTCCCAACCAGAAAATATCAATACGGATGAGAAAAGAGGTCCCTTTGACAACTTTCTTCCCCAGTTCATATTGCTTTTGGATGTTATGTTTTGAAGAACCATCATAATTGGTTTAAAATTTTGATTGGATTTTTTTAATATGTTATGACTTATAATGACCTGGTTTTTATAAATGCTTGTTTTATGTATATTTTATTATTGTCAAAATCTTACTTCTATTGGTCTGGTATGAGAATAAACCAGACCAATTAATAGCATTCTTATTTAAGATAATTAATAAAATCAAATTCCTAAAAAAGAATAGTTAAATAAATGAATTTGTAATCAATAGTATATATAGCTATAAACTACTCCGTAATACATTGGGCAAAGTATCGTAATTCAGTCCATTTAAAGCGTTTTCTGTCTCGTTGGAAATATTTTATCGAGTTCTAAAGACGCCCGGGCAAATCAGCATGCCGAATTCTTACCGAGTCACTGCTGCAATTATCGCATGATGTGTGGATGTCACGGTGGAGCCCAACTTGGACTTGTTTCACCGGCTCATGTCTCATTCGAAGAAAACCTATTATTTTAACTCCGATCTTATTTCAGGAAATTTCCCTAGCTACTAAGGAGTAATATATATGTTGATATGCTATGAGATCTAGAAACTTTGTGGTGTCTTATACTCCGCCCTCCTAGCTCCAACATTGACGAAGACTATACTTCCAAGTTCCAAGCTCAAATAGGTAAAATAGCATCGAAAGCTATTTGTTCTTGGTTAAAACTCCAAGAATGTATGTACTTTTGTTTGCTAGTACTTCCCCACTATGATGAGAAACCTTAAACTTTGTCTGCTAAATTCCAATATTTCAGTTTTGTTGAATTTCTTTTTCCAATTCCTCCCACACTTTTCATCATTCCTTGACCTTTTTTTCTTTCCTCTCCACCCAACAAACATTTGTACCCTTTGTCAGAATAGTGGGAATGTCTTTCCCAGGATCCGAGACACCCTGGGTTTAAAAATGTGTCCACTTTTCAAATAATTTCTACTCCATCCCCCCAAATCTGTTACTCTATTTGAACTAGGTCAATTCTTTAGTTACTTTGGTATAACATCAATCAATGCAAAGGCTCGCTATTGCTAAACCTATTAAATTAAAGAATCCGTTTTATTTTGGGTTGATCACCTAGGTGTTTTTGCGTGTACACTAAGGAACTCCTACTTCTCCCCCGTAATAATCGAAGTAATCTCATATGTTATCATTTTTTATCATCAAAACCAACAACTCCACTAATAAAGTAAATTGTTCACCAAATGACATACAATAGAGTGAGGAACATTATCGTAGATAATCCTCTGATCTGAGATCATAACGCGTGTTCTTGCCAACTCATGAACCACACAATTCGGGGGATTCACATACCGTTTACAAAAAGGGACAACAAAATTACTTTTAATTTTCTAACATATTCTTAATATCTTCAATAATCAAATGTAAGTAAGCCGAACCCCTCCCCTTCTTGATCCCCCGAGCAACCGTTAGAGCATCTGTCTCAATCACTACCCTTTCCCAGCCTTCTTCCACCGCGCCAAGCTTGTTGAATACCCACGGTTTCCGTCTCTGCTGCCGACCAGGTGGCCGCCGCTGATGCTACTTTTGCCTTAACAAAAACACCATCCTCGTCTCTAACAACCCATCCTCAGGCTCGAATACCCCCTGCTTCGTTCACTGCTTCGTCCACATTTACCTTAATATATCCACTATTTGGCTTGACCCATTTGACTCCCTCGGCCTCGGCCTGAACAGCCACTTTCGGAACCCCTTTTTGAGCATTCTTCCAACAGAGGAAGCGGTCCAACACAACTGGTTGCCGACTCACTCTCCCTTAGGGGAGGTCTCGCGAAACTCAATGGAGTGAGTTTCAACCTGATTACTCCAGGTCCCCTCAGCCCCCCTCCCCCAGACGCCCCCTATAGTTAAAAACAGAAGAAACATCATTCCAACATGTAATCATGC